TTGTTTTTTTTTTACGAAATATGGGCTCGTAGTCACTATATGCTTGTAGTAGCACATCCATTTCTGTCGGGGAAAAACGCAGACCTATTTTGGCTTGGTCCTGTTGCCATGGTGACTCGTAATTTCTTCACTCCATTGTTCAGGGCTTTTTATAGTCGCGTGGCACGCGCCTAACTCTGAGTCAGACAACTCAGAGTTGATTAAACCAACTCTTTTCAGCTGTTCTGAAACCAAAAACTCAGAGTTTTCCAACTCTGGGTAAGTCAACTCAGAGTTCAGGTTTGAACTCTGAGTTTGTTAAACCGCCTTCTTGAAATAGGCCCCAGGACAAAACCCAAACTCTAAATTCAGTCTGTTGTAAATGTGGGCGCAAGAGAATGATGTCAGCGTAATATAGTATTGAGTTTAGTTTTTAGCTGTAGCTAAAATACACCATGTAAGCTAAACACATGAAAAGTCAAGTTAGATTTTGTTCACTGTATATAGCCCAAAATCACACATCACACGTTTTCTGACACAGCAGGTATAGAACTGTAAAAAAAAAATGCCAGTGAAATGGCAATATTTCATTTGGGTGAGCACAGCAACATAAGACCAGACATGAAAAGATGTCACAGATAGTGTGACATTTAAGAGAATGACAGGAGGACAGGAAGTGTCAGGGCCGCTCGGCGGCCGCTGCCTCTCCTCCGTCTTTCTCTCCTCTGCTCTCTCTATCATGTGGGCTCTGCACCTCAGCTGTGTTGCATTCCAGTAATTAGCAACTGGTTTGTCGCTGCACACAGCTGGGGTGCATCACGATGATTACTTTTTCCTCCCTGTTTATACCTCGGGCAGACGCTCCGCCGTCGCCGGATCATTGCGACTTGCAACTTGCGAGATGTTGTGGACAATACTTACCCTGTCACCTGGGTCGGCTATCTTGAGTCCTACCCCTAGTTCTCCCTCACCCTCCTGGTGAGGGGGACGAACCAGAACAGGAAGTGGTATTTTGAAAGCATTTTATATACTGAAAACAGGTCCTGTGTGTCACTAGCATTGAATTTAAGGTCTGAGGTGTCACTGTAGTCTAAAAGGCAAATCAGCCATTTGATAGAAATCACAATCAAATCTGACCCTTATCATTTGCAATAAAAAATGTGGAAATATGACCAACTGTGGCATCATAATAGAAGCTGTCGGCTAAAAGCTGCAAGCAGAATGCTGAGATGCTCACAGTGACAATACTAACATCTAACATCTAGCATTTGCTACTAAACATAAAGTAAAGTTTTGTAAGATTGTGGTCATAAACACTGGACAAATTCAAATTTTGAACCAATGATGGCATGAGAGGAAGAGTCAGGTAATCACCAAAGTCATTAGTCTATATCGTGATGACATGGTGGAAACCAATAGCTGTTCACAGAAATATTAATTCTTTGTACAATCCTCTGATGGTGGTCTAATGGGTTAGCAACACAGAAATACGTGCTTTGTCTTCCACGCTGACAGTCTCTGTGCGTTTTGGCTTGACCTTATCACGCTAATTATGTGGTTAGCAACACAGAAATATGTGCTTTGTCTTCCACGCTGACAGTCTCTGTGCTGTGGATTGCATTGTTTACGTTGGTTCTTTTTGTTCACCTGTCCGTTCTCATCCTCCTGCTATCCTAGTTCCTGTCGTTAGTTTGTGTGTTTACCGTCCTGGTCTCCTTAGTCATCACTGCCCTTCCCTTGTTGTATGTATTATGGACCCTGTTATGTTGTCATGTTGTTTTTATTCCATTAAACCACCTTTTTTGTACTAGCACCTGGGTCAGCCATCTTGAGTCCAACCCCAGTTCTCCCTCACCCTCCTGGTGTGGGGGACTAAACCATAACATTTCCTGACAATTTATCCA